GTTTGTGTTGCCAACTCTATATAGCGGATGTTGGATTCGCGTGCTACATACCACATTTGTCCTAGGAGGGATTGGTTCGCTAACTTTCAGGAGTTAGAAAGAGGGAATTTCGTGCTCATGGGTAATGATCATGAATGCCCTACTAGTGGTATTAGTACTGTTCGTATTAGGATGAGTGACAGAGTGATTCGGGAGTTGGTTAGAGTGAGGTTTATTCCTTAGTTAAAGAAGAACATCATTTCACTTGGAGCTTTGGAAACAGCAGGCTATAGGGTGACCTTAGTAGATGCATGTTTGAAGATCACATTTGGGTCCATGATTGTAATGAAGGACGTCAGGAGGAATAATATGTATTATTTGATTGGGAGCATGGTGTTTGATAGAGAGCTGACGACTTCTTTGGATTTGGCTAGACTGTGGCATTTGTTGAGGTTGGGTTATTTGATTGGTTATGTCGTGCATTGTTTGTTGAGGAGTGCTTTGACCTGCAGTTTCAAGTCATTTGAGCACGTTGGTATGAGCAAGACCGTGGTGGAGTTTGGTACTTCTATCCATCGATCGAGGGGTCGTTTAGGAGGTGTTCATTCAGGCGTTTGGGGGCCTTCCAAGGAGGCATCATTGGGAGGTAATCGGTATTTGGTTTTCGCAGTTGGTGATTGTTCTAGACAATTATTGGGTCACGATCAGTTCCCGTTGGTGTAAAGTTCTAGAAGTTAACAACAATTGGAAGAAGTGTATTAGCAGAAAGGTAACCCCATCATTCTAGCTTTAGTAGGGGTTCGGATGGCAGTTTGAGGCACTTTATTGATGTGGAGACATTAGGGCGATGAGATGAGATGACGTTTTTGATGGATCGTTCCTTACTGGAGGGGGATCGGTATTGGTTGTTGAACATTGGTTTTGGTTTTGGAGCTTCAACATATTTGGGTCATCTTAGTCATAAGTTGCTAACTGCTGCATTTGGAGTTATTAGATTTGGTGGAGCTGCTTAAGATTTTGGTTGGCGTCGGATGTTTGGTTACCCAGTATTTGGTCACATCGTGGATGTGAGATTTGATCCGATTGGGCATTTGGGATTCAGAAGCTCGTTTGATTATCGGTTGAGAGCTTCTGATTTTGTTCTGAGTAGGTATGTCATTTTTGACTCTCGACAGGTGAAGAGTGTTGATCAGGTCATTTGGATATCGTAGCGGGTGGAGGGTGATACTACTTCACATTGGGTGGAGATTACTCCACATACTCTAGATGACTACATCGTTTGGGTTTCTAGCTGAGGTGACACAGTTTAAAGATCATTTGGATTTGGATGCAGATGATGGATTGATTTTGGATTCGGTTGTAGCTGGTGGACATGATTTGGATACGGCCATTGGTTCACCTCAGATGGAGGTGTTTGATACGTTTTAGTTTGGGTCCATTAGGAGCGCTATCAGTTGAAGATCCGTTGGTGATATTGGTGAAGAGTTGCAGACTTCTCTATTTGTTTGAGGGCATTTGGAGACCGTTTGGGTGAACCACGTGAAGGCTTGATTCCTTGGGCAAGAGGATACTTAGGCAGTCTTTATGATGCAACCGATTTGGTGAGCCGATTCGGTGAGTAGATATCGATGTTTGGAGAGTGTTCGCATTCTCATTTGGGTCTCGACTTATTATGGATTGAGTCCATTGTCGTGAATCGTTTTACTTCATACTGGACGCAACAAGTGAGACATTTGATTTAGTTGGTTTCGGCTCAGTTTTGGGAAAACTTCACCGAGGTAGAGATTTGTGGAGAAATCAGAGATTTGATCCAGATTGTGCAGATTCTGTGTCATAAGTCGACTCATGCATAGACATAAGTCGACTTATGGTAAGTCGACTTACGTTCTGTTTTGGAATTGTTAGTTTTGGCTCTGTCAAGTCGACTTGTGAAGCCTGTTAAGTCGACTTGTGGTAAGTCGATGGTAAGTCGAATTATGATCTGTTCTCGAGTTGCTGTTTTTCTCTCTGCCAAGTCAACCTATACACCCTGTTAAGTCGACTTATAGCGGATTTTCTGCACAGTTAGAGTTCCTATTTGGATTCTGTTTTGGTAAAAATAGGAACACGATTTTGAGGGTTTGGAAGGCTTGAATGAGGGATATTTAGAGCACAGGAAAGAAGTATTTTCTGAGCTATTTGATTAGGGTTTATTTGGAGAGATTAAGAGTTTTGTTGGTGAGATTAGTTTGTTCCTTCGACTAATTTGTAATCTTAATTTATACTCTTCTTCTCTATTAGTGAAAACCGCATCCCCTTCTTACCCCGTGGATGTAGAAAACTTGCTGAACCACGTTAAAATTGGTTTGTTTATGTTTGTGGCATTGATTTGGTTGATTTGGCCTTTATCTCGACGTTTGGTATTTAGTTTCTCGAAGCACGTTAATTTGGTTGTTTGGCTTCCACATAGCGCACAACAATATTGACTTATGAGAAACATAAAGCAAGATAAGAAATATTAAGTGATAAGAACTTCTTGTGACTAATATTGACAAGCATATATAGTACTATAATAAGGTGAAATATTGAGTTAGTCAGATTATTAGAGGGGTTATCGACTCATGAAAGGGGTACAAATAAGTCTATATGTGCAGCTTTGATACCTAAGTATATTGACATGTGATATATTCATATATATTATTAAAAAAAAGCGTTGACATACGAGATCAAATAAAAGCGGGCGGTGACTTTTATCTAGTAAGATTTGTTTAGGAGAAGCTTAAGCATATTAACATCAACCACGGAATTCTAATTCATACGCGATCACTGATGTTCTATTATTATTAGAAAAATACATTACGGATGCGAAAATGGGACAGATAAAAGGGATAAGTGAGGTGTGCCCCTCTGATTGCATAATGAGCTGGTCATGGCCAGCTCATTATACAGTAAAGGGGGGACACCTCACATGTCCCTCTATCTGTCCTATTTTTTGGGGTTTCTATAGAAGCACCATTATTATTATTTGATAGTTTTTCAAATTAAAGGATGAAAATTAAAGACTCACATGTTGATTTGATAATTAATAAACGCGCATCGTGCATGCCATCAAATGAAATGCGTACTCAATCAGGCAAACAGAGGTGCCAAATGCATTACCCAGACTTAGGAAAAAAAAGCTAATACAAATAGAAATAATGAAAACAGTACTGAGACGACAACTAGAAAGACATGTATAACTTACTCAAAGTCAATAAATTACATCTATTATGGAGACTGGTTAAAGTTCAAATTCCACCTTAGATACAGGATAACAAATTCTCATATACGCTGATGACCAAGGTTCAATTTTACCGGCATTATGAAATTCAGGTTTTTTTGTTTGAAGCTTATGTACGCACAACAAGCCCGTCATAGACTTTCACATGATGGATTCAAATTGAATTATATTCAACTATAATCTCATCTTCTTATATTCATCCATTCTTTTGTTGGCTTAATTGAACACAATTAATCCTGCAAATTCAAAGTATTTTGGTGTTGGATCTTGATGCAGCGCAAAAGCAAAACCTCATAATTGACTCTTCAAATCGACAAAAAGGATAATTTCGAATCTACCAAGAACTTCAAATCTACAAGAAATATTGAAAGAGAAATATATTATTATATTAAAAAATATTGAGTAGTGATAATTATTTTATACTTTTTTGAAAAGGCATGTATGACAACTTAACCAACGAAGTCCTCAACAACACTCTGTCTCAAAAGCAGAGGGACAGAAACAAATCAAAAACAAGAGGACAAACAGTCAACCGACTTAGCTAGGGCATGAGCAACACCACCACCAGTGCGCCTTAAATAATTACAGTAGCCAATAGCAGACAAAATAACGCGAACTTCATCCGCAATAGGAGCCATGGAAGCAAAAGGAAAAGGAGAGTCCACCAAGGGACAACCCTTAGAGAGTCAATCTCCACCACTGAAATCCTCCAGTTCATACGCCGAACAAAGTGAATGCCTTCGAGGACAACCAACATCTCCGCATGATCCACAGACATAGTGTAGAATAGAAGTCGATCATAGTTGATCCTAATATAATTTTATGTGGGTTGCCAAGTATACCAATTGAAAAACAAAGGAAAAGAAACCCATAATACACGTTCTAAGAGCATCTCCAATGGAGCGCCAAAACTCCATTTTGGAGTGTTTTGGCGCTCCAATGGAACGCCAAAACTCCATTTTGGAGTGTTTTGGCGCTCCAATGGAACGCCAAACACCCCGCTAAATTAGCGGGGTGCTACAGTGTTGCGCCAGAAATGGCGCAACACTGTAGCAATGGCGCAGTGTGATTTTTTTTTGCTTTTTTCTTTTAAACTTTATTCTTTTATTCATATTTTCTTTTCTTTTTGCTTTTTTTTTCTAAACTTTATTCTTTTTGCTTTTGTTTTTTATATTTGTATTAATAATATATATTATCTTATATTAATTATTATAATGAAATTAGAGTATAAAATAATTATTAAAATAAAATTCAAAAAAAATTATTATAATGAAATTAGAGTATAAAATAATTATTAAAATAAAATTAAAAAAGAAATAAGAAAAACTACACCATTTAGATAAAAATTAATTATATAATGTATTATTATAATTAATTATATGTAATGTATTATATAATTACATAATTTGTTAAATATTTTAAATAGATAAAATGTTAAAAGATAAGAATAATAAAAGGAATATTCTTTTTGGTGTAAAATTTGGTGTAATAGGTTGGAGATGAAATAGTGATTTGGTGTAAAAACTACACAAACTTGATGTAAAAACTACACCATTTTGGGTTTTATGGTTGGAGATGCTCTAATAAGGAGGACTTTCATCCCGCAAGCAAATTCAGATCATGGCTGTAACTAAATTTTTTTTACCGTTACTATTAAAAGTTGAATCCCTAGTAATTAACCCACGCCCAAACCTTCTAATTTTTATCTCCAAAATTTCCCTTCTAATAAAACACACTGGCCAAATTTCTAATCCTAGTATAAAACTCCATCCTCACTCTCTCCTCTCTCATTACTCTCTCTCTCCTCTCAAGAAATCAATCAATCAAAAATGGCTCTGCTCTCAAAATCAAACCCAATCCCAGCCTCAATCATCGAAGCCATTGACGAGATCATGCGCCTTTACCGCTCTCTCCCCCCTCGCCCAACCATCGAACAAGTCGAAGCCGCCATGGCCATAATCCAAACCTCAACCGCTGAACAAGAACTCAAGCTCCAAGAAATCGATAATTTACAGAAACCCCCCGATGTCCCGGACGAGCTATTCTCCATCCTTCAACAGGCGAGAAAGAACTTGGTGCTGCTTCAAGCCCACGAGCAGAGGAAGGAGGCTCAGCATGTTGTGGATTTGGACTTGAGATTTCAAGTGTTTGAAGATTTGATTCAGAGGGCTTCGAAACTTGTTGGGGGTGAGAGGGAAGAGGAGAAGCTTGCTGGGTTTGAGAAAAGGAAGAAGGTTGAAGAGGAGGAGAAGAAATTGGGGGATTTGGGGCTTGTTTCTTCTCTCAAAACTGAGGTCCCTTTAGCTCAGACTCAGAGTATGTTCTCTCTCTTCTTTTTTTTTTTGGTTTTGTTTTATTAGGTAATTTTGGGTGAGTCCCGGTTTAGATTTTGGCTTTGTGATGAAAACCCACTTTTTTACTTTGAAAATTTTATGGGCTTTTAGAGAAACCCAGTTCAAATTTGTGGTTTTGTGATGAAAGGCATAAACTTTTAGGAGTTTATTTAATGAGTAGAAAAGAAAATAAACCTGTCTTTCTTTTGCCGAAGGACTTGAATATTTGGCTTGATTATATAGGGAAGTTTCTAACTTTCTTATGTAGTGTTTGAATTTTGACATTTTTGTTGGGCTTTTTTTGTGATGAAAGGCATAAACTCAGAGTAACGTTCTTCTTTTTTTTCTTTTTTTTTTTCGGTGGAAGAAGATGAAGGTATTCAGCTATGTTATTGTTATCAGGATAAAAGATTTTTAGTTTCCTCTGTGGGATCTTCATTCTTAGAATGGGAAGTTTGTGGGTTTGTTTAGGCTTAGAGATGGTTCCATATATGAGTCATGGCTAATTAATAATCATTCATTTCGCAGTCAAGTCGTCATTTTTTTATTTAATGTTAATCTTGGCCTCCACTGTGTAAATCACTAGGTAGCATCTTTGTTTTCTCTTCTTGGAGCATGTTGTTTATTTTATTCAGAAGCAGAATGGCTAAAGCTGAGTAGTTAAGCTGTACATTGAATCCATATGCCACAACTAAAACAATAAACGAAGTCTATCAAATGCTGGCAGTTAAAGCTATAATTTTCTTACAACTTCCATTATGAGCTAGACCATGTTGAACATTCAAAATAAATCAAAAATATTATGCATCAGATAATTACAGGCATATTACTTATATGAGCTCCGTAAGGTTTTTCTATATTTACAGAAGATAATCGACTTTGGTACTTTAAAATGGTCGATAAACAAATACAGTTAATGACACAATTCGTTCTTTTATCTTTTGCTAAGATTCACTGCTTAACAGGATAATATATACGTTAACATTTAATTTCTCTCAGACCTTTTGTTTGGTAAGTGAGTTTGTTTTTAGCTCTGCCATTATTGCTTCTCAATAAATTCTGTCTTTGTCAATTTAATTTGTAAGTTATAACAATCTGAATGTTGTTTCTCTCTAGTTCCAGCAGGCGACGACGAAGAAAAATTGTCCCTCATCAACGTAGCCAACTTAATTGAGACATCAGCAAAGCAAGGCACTGGAGTTCTTGATCTTCGAGGCAAATTAATGGATCAAATCGAGTGGCTCCCCTTATCTCTCGGAAAATTACATGAAGTAACAGAGCTGGATTTATCAGAGAACAGGATCATGGCATTACCATCAACTATAAGTAGCCTGAAGTTATTAAGAATACTCGATATTCACTCGAACCAGCTGATAAACTTACCAGAATCATTTGGAGAGCTATCCAATTTGACTGATCTTGATCTGCATTCTAACAGGTTGAAATCTCTACCCGCTTCATTTGGCAACCTCACGAATCTAGCCAATTTGGATCTGAGTTCCAATCAGTTAGTAGTTCTCCCTGATACATTAGGGAATTTAAAGAATTTGAGAAGACTTAATGTGGAGACAAATGAGCTTGAAGAGCTTCCTTATACTATTGGATCTTGTACTTCACTTATCGAACTCAGGTTAGACTTCAACCAGCTGAAAGCACTTCCAGAAGCAGTTGGGAATCTAGAATGTCTAGAGATTCTAACTCTACACTACAATAGAATCAAGAGCTTGCCTACTACAATGGGCTCATTGTCAAAATTGAAAGAACTGGATGTTTCCTTCAACGAGCTTGAATCAATCCCAGAGTGCCTCTGCTTTGCAACTAATCTCGTGAAATTAGATGTTGGGAGGAACTTCGCAGACTTGAGGTCTCTGCCAAGATCTATTGGCAATTTGGAGATGCTTGAGGAATTGGATATAAGCAGCAATCAGATAAGAGAATTGCCAGTCTCCTTCAGACTCCTGTCAAAGCTGCGAGTATTCTGTGCTGATGAAACTCCTCTTGAAGTGCCACCAAGACAAGTAGTTAAGCTTGGCGCTCAGGTATCTATGAAAATAATATCCTTTTGATGCAAATCTTATGCAAGTTTTCAAGGGTAAAGTTCACGAAACCTCCCTTTAAGCTTGGCTATTTTTGAGATTAACCCCCAAACTTTAGAAATGTCATTTAACCCCTTTCAAGTTTTGTCAGATAAACCCCCTGACTAGACTGTGCTTGTGAAAATCATGTGCGTCCAAATGATCAAAATGCCCAAGATGAGAGAACCCCTTTTATGTCTATCTAATAATTTTAAAAGATAATTCTCACATAAACCTTTTAAGCTCGGTCGAATTTTAGGGATTTAATTTAATTAGTTTTGATAAATAGAGTGTTAATTTGAGGAGGGTGGAGGATATTCTGATCTTCTTTACTGGTTCTGTTGGGAATTCAATCACATCGAACCTTTACTTACACTTTCAGACCTTGTTAGAAAGTTGAGCAAGAAAGAAATTCACCACAAATCAAAGATAAAAACTTGCAGAAATAAGAACAAAAGAGAACACACGAATTTAATGAGGTTCGGCAACGTGCCTACTTCCTCAGGAGCCACACCACACAATCTCTTTAATTAATTGAAGAAGAAATACAAGCATTCAAACAAGGGATTAATCTCTCTGAGATTCTCTCTTTTTTTTTTCTTCTGATGGTCATTCACGTCCCTTTTTTTAGCCCTAGAAACATATAGGTATATATATGAATCTCAGCTCAAACAGAATTCAAAACAGATTAGGAAACTGCCAGCTCGACTCGCGGTCGACCGCCGAACCAGTTGCGGTCGACCGTGAAAAGTCCAGAGACCAACTCAACTCCAGGGTCCAGGCGCGGTCGACCGTACCAACCGCCGCGGTCGACCGGAAAAAGTCCAGAGACTTTTTCTGTTTTTGTGCACGTTCGCGGTCGACCGCCGAGAGCATCGCGGTCGACCGTACTGTAATTTTCCCGTTTCCTTCGTTTTGCTTCATCTTCTTGATTCCAGCTTCAGCTTTAGGTCTACACTTAGATTAACAGGTTCATCTAACACCGTGAGTTGTTTATGGGGGTTTGTGTTGGAAGGAGAGAGGAGGTGTTTTTTTTGGGTTTGGTTGGGAGGGGGGGGGTGCGTTGTTAATCCCCAAAACTTAAGGATGGTTAAATGACATTTTTAAGTTTAGGGAGATTAGAGATTATCTCAAAATTAGCGCCAAACCTATGGGAGGTTTGTGAAATTTACCCCGTCTTTAATGAGTCTCAAATGTCTTATGTTTTTGTTGCTCAACAGGCAGTTGTGGAGTATATGGCAGATTTAGCTGCAGGTGCTGGGGCTCCATCTTCGGAGAGAAAAGGATTTTGGTACTGGTTTTGCTCTTTGTTCCGACCAAGAAACAAGGATGTCAACTCAAAGGTTAATTTTGCAAATGTGTGAGGTCTGAACTTTTATCCAACCTTTTAAATGGTTCAGCCATGAACTTGTCTGCCTTTGTTTGTTCATCCTTGTTTATGTTTTATCCAAGCTTGTAAATGGTTCAGCCCGGAACTTATCTTCCATTGTTTGTTCATCCTTGTTTATGTTTCTGTCTTTGGATGTAAATTGATTTTAGACTACCTGCATTTCTGTAGATGTGTGTTACTGAAATTGTGTGTATATTTAGGCTGAATCTTGCAGTTAATTTGTTTGTAAAGACACTCTTTATGAGAATGTAAAGGGTTAAAATTTTTGCTCTCTCTCTTCATTTCCTCTTACCAAGGTAGCGACTTCCTCTTTATTTCAGTACTTGCTTTCAGGGAAAATAGGCCTGCCGAAAATAACAAAAAAGGAAAAATGATTTAGTTGGCTGCTCTTGATTATGCTTATTATAGAAGGGATTGTTGTTACGTTGTTTACTCTTTAACTCTTCTAATGGATTCTTCGGGCTTGTTGTAATCATAGTACTCCCAACATCTCTACTAATTTGTATGTACCTCAAACTTATCTACGTAAATGTTTATAAGCACTCAAACTTTTTTATGAGCACTTGAGTGTTTTATTTTGTCAAGTTTATAGGTAGGTTGTCCATTTGGGCCGAAGGCCCGGGCCCAGCCTGGTGTCTGGACTAGACCCGGCCGGGCCCAAGCCCAACTCAGGCCCGAGCATGGCCCAAAAATCTAGGCCGATTGGCTCCGGCGACCTGGACCCGGAGCCGCTTTGCCTGGCGCTCCCACCCAACCCGGGTCGGGACTGGCTAGCAAAAGGCGTCGAGCCAGCGTGCCTGGAGTACGGCGGGTGGAGACGGACCGCGGGCCGGAAACCACAACGGTCACAATCGTGACCGTTGGCCGGGCAGCCCGGGCCGACCCAAACGATCATGATGGCCATATTTTAGTTTTTGACCAAAATACCCCTAAAAACGATCAAAAAAGGCTAATTTTTTAGGGTATTTTGGTCATTTGGTTAGAGATGTCTCTATAAATAGAGGGAGTTTTTATTTGTTTTTCTCATCTTAAACTCATCTACTTCTCTCTATTACTCTCTAATACTTTTTTATGCTCGTTTTTGCTCTCTAATTCTTCAATCAAATGGCTTCCTCCTCTAATTTATGAAGGGCAAATCTCAACACCCGATGTTGAAATGAGTCATAATACTCCTACTACAAGAGTTACAGTTACTCCTCCTACCGATGTTGATCATGAATCCAGTGGGGATGATTCTGCACCTAGAGCTCCTAAAAGGCCAAGATTTGATGTGTGGAACGTTTTTGAGAAGATAGAATTCACCAGAGATCAACACTGTAGGCTTCTTACTCAGAAGGCTAAGTGTGCATTGTGCAACTATATTTTCCAAGCTCATCATAAAAGCGGCACTAATCATCTCAAACGCTATTTAGACAAGCACAACAGAGGTCAGGCAACGCCTCAAGGTGATATCCGACAATCTTTACTCTCCCAATTCTCATCCTCCGGTAGTCTCGGTGGTTAGAATTATGACAATTAAAGCCAAGAAATGCGTCATTAGGTTTATTGTTCTTAAAAACATTTTTTTAAAATTAGTAGAAGATGATGATTTTGAACATATGATTACCGATGGTTTTTATCCCGTATTTAAAAAAATTTCTCGTCAATCTTGTCAACGTGACATTTTGAAATATTATCACGAGGAACAAGCAAAAATAATTTCTTATTTTTAAAATTTAAACTGTAAATTTTTTTTAACTTCTGATATTTGGATATCTAGAGCATAAACTAGTTATTTATGTATCACAGCACACTGGATTGATGATAATTAGAAAATGTTTAAAAGAATTATTTCTTTTATTGCATTTAAAGAATCACATAGTGGTATTAATATTACAAATTTAATAATAGAAGAACTTATAAAATTAAAAATATTAGAAAAAATATTTTCTCTTTCACTAGATGATGCAAGTAATAAGAATGCATATCAAATCATCTTTGCTATTGCCATGTCATGGTGATATTTTTTATATTAGATGTATGTGCTGTATTTTAAATTTAATTGTTCAATGTGCATTTGGTGAAATTAAAACTATGATAGAAAATGTTAGGACCATAGCTTATGCTCATAATGCTTCTGAACAAAGACTTAAAAGATGGAAACAATTGTGTAAAAGAAAAAATTTTAAACCCAGATTAATTTCAAAAGATGTTGACGATAAATAGAATTCTACCTATGCAAAGTTAAATGTAACAATAGAGTATAAATAAATTATAAATGATTTTATTGCTTTCTATACTTCTAATTCTAGTTCTGGTAGTATGTATGGAATAACTGGGGATGAATGGTTAGTTATATATAGTGTAAAAGAGATGTTGTAAGTTTTTTATGATGCTATTATATTATTATCTGGTTGTTATTATCCAACTATTATTCAAGCTGCTTTAAAAGTTTTAAATATTAAAACTTTTTAATAATTATCGTATGGATAATTATTTTGAAAATATGATTTTATAAATGGAAAGTAAATTTAATAAGTATTTTAGGCCTATTTCTATTATTTTTGGTTTGGGGGTTCTTATTGATCTATGTTTGAATGATGTGTTGGAAATAGGGTGTAGACCCAAACCTGCGGGCGAGCTTGAGGAAGTCGGGCGAGGTTGGGTCGATTGCAGGCGAGCTCGAGACCTTCACGCGAGGACGAGCTTCAGGGGAGGTCTAGTCGAAGGCGCATACGAGACGACGAGCTCCTGGCGAGTCGACATAGGTGAGGTCGACGCGAGGCGACCCTACGACTCAGGCGAGGTCGACGTCGTGGACTTTAGGCGACGTTGAGACCTTCATGCAAGGTCAAGATCTGTTAGGCGAGCTTGAGGCGGCTTGATATAGGCGAGGTCCTCGATGATGTCAGGCGAGTCGTGTGCAGGCAGGGTCGACAGCTGCTGGTGAAATTTGAATGAGGTCAGGCGAGCTCGCCTTTGATCCTCACAGGCGTGTGCAGGACAGCTGGATCCAACTGTAGCTAGGGTTTCCCTATTTAAGGGAACCCTTTGCACGAGAAGAGCTGAGTCTTCTTCTTAGCGAATTAATTGCAGAAGCCAGACGGCAGCGGAGAATTTTCAGAGAAAATTCTCCTGATTCCTGTATCGATTTTTTTTAGCGGATTGTGAAGAGATTTTCCAAGTTGGAAAATCTTGTGCCTTATTTGAAGAACAGAAAGTCTATGTTGCTTCTTTGTTTTTGAGAGATCTCAAGTTTGAGATCTGCTCTTTACAAGCTTGTAATCTTCTTTGATATAAAGGAAATTATTTGTGTGGCTCCCGAGGACGTAGGCAAGTTGTCAAACCTCGTTAAAACTTGATATTCTCTTTTCTTGTAATTTTATTTGCTGTGATTTCTTCTTTCTATTGTCTTAATACAAGATCCGGTAGGACAAATTTTGTAGATGGTTTCATATTTGACAGGTGGTCGAGTAGCTTGAATTCCCTAACAACTGATATTAGAGCCCTTGTTCAGATTGTGTGTGTAAGAAATAACAAAAGAAAACAAATCTAAAATTGAGAAGTTTGATTGGTCAGACTTCGTCGATTGGAAGTCATAGATGGAGGACTATCTGTACAAGAAGGATCTTTACCGTTCGCTGATGTGTAAAGCAAAAGGATAGAATAAAGAAGAATCCAACGAGGACTGGGAAATATTAGATCGAAAAGCCCTGGGGCAGGTCCGATTGGCCCTCACAAAATCTATAGCACACAATATATTAAAGGAGAAGACGACGGTGGGGCTTATGGAAGCGCTCGTAACAATGTACGAGCAACCTTCAGCTACAAATAAGGTGCATCTCGTCAAAACGCTATTCAACCTCAAGATGGCAAAAGGATGTTCCTTCACGATGCATCTCAGCAAGTTCAACATGATTGTTGATCAACTCATCTCAGTCGACATCACGCTTGATGACGAAGTGCAGGCCCTATTGATACTATCACAGTTGCCAGATAGTTGGGCAGGTTGCGTGACCGTAATCAGCAACTTGGTGGAAAAGGAGAAGTTGAAGCTAAATGAGGTGGTAGCTATGGTTCTATCTGAGGAGGTTAGAAGAAAATCGAATGAATTAGAAGGTTCAGATTCAAACTTAAGTCTCGAACAGAGATGCAGAAGCCATAATAGGGGGAACCGAAATAGGAATTGTAGGCAATAAAAATTGCCTTTAAATCCTTATCAGAGAAGTTCAGAACAAAACTGCTAAAATCTCACCCGAAATAGCAAAAGAGGGGAAAACGCAAATATCTCCCAAACCGTAAGGAATTTGGCGAAATGGAGGAAGCGAACCGAAGCCTTCGGCTCGGTTCGGATGACTCCATCTCGTCGAGATAGGCGATTTTCATATATAATTCGTCCAATTCCGACTTACGGTTTGAAAGTTACGGCCTATTCTTCGATCCATGCTATAGAGCTCGCCTAACGGCTTGAAGATCGCCTGCAGACCCAGGATCGTTTGCAGTCCCCAGCTTCGCCTGCAGTTGAAGCTCGCCTGCAACTCAAAATTCGCCTGCAGTCCCAAATCCGCCTGCAGACCCAAGTCTGCCTGCGCACCTGCAGCTCGAAATTCGCCTGCAGTCCCCAGGATCGTTTGCAGTCCCCAGCTTCGCCTGCAGTTGAAGCTCGCCTGCAACTCAAAATTCGCCTGCAGTCCCAAATCCGCCTGCAGACCCAAGTCTGCCTGCGCACCTGAGCTCGCCTGCAAACCCAGTTCGCCTGCTAGCTTTCGGCGAACCGCTCAAATCAGGCGAGCTTAACAGTTGAGGCGAGCTCATCTCTTTGAGCCAGGTTCCCAGTTTCGGCGAACCGCTCAAATCAGGCGAGCTTAACAGTTGAGGCGAGCTCATCTCTTTGAGCCAGGTTCCCAGTTTCGGCGAACCGCTCAAATCAGGCGAGCTTAACAGTTGAGGCGAGCTCATCTCTTTGAGCCAGGTTCCCAGTTTCGGCGAACCGCTCAAATCAGGCGAGCTTAACAGTTGAGGCGAGCTCATCTCTTTGAGCCAGGTTCCCAGTTTCGGCGAACCGCTCAAATCAGGCGAGCTTAACAGTTGAGGCGAGCTCATCTCTTTGAGCCAGGTTCCCAGTTTCGGCGAACCGCTCAAATCAGGCGAGCTTAACAGTTGAGGCGAGCTCATCTCTTTGAGCCAGGTTCCCAGTTTCGGCGAACCGCTCAAATCAGGCGAGCTTAACAGTTGAGGCGAGCTCATCTCTTTGAGCCAGGTTCCCAGTTTCGGCGAACCGCTCAAATCAGGCG